CCTCCTTTTCAAGACACCAGATGCCCAGCTTCTTACAGATTCAGATGTACTCTTCTCAGTTCCCCAAGTTCTTATTTACAAATTGCCAGTAAAAAGCGGAAAAAAACCCCCAAAACATGAGGCTGTTTCACCTCCCTTAAATTGATGGCAACTGAGAGTCTCACAGACTTCGTTCTCTGACTGCACTCTAATTAAGATATACAAAGAACAATGAAAGTACATTTATGTAGTCATTCAAAAATCCATTTAAGCTGTTACACTCTACACTACAGACTATGCCAAAAGATACTGCCCTTAGATTCGCAGAGAAGCAGGTCAAAAGCTTAAATAAATCATATCGCTTAGCTTCAGTGCATATATCACGGATATCACAAAAGAAACACCATTAAATTCTATAACTTTAGATACAGCAGTCACTTATCCAGCTGTTAATTAAATCCCAATACAATATGACCATCATATTTTTTATTCATGAACAAGACCACAGCAAACTGCATTTTAATAGGCACAATAGTGCTGAAAATGAATGACACCCAAGAGGGCTGTAAAATTTTTCTGCAAATCTACTTCAGGTTAGTATGTAACCTGGCAAAATTAGTGTAGATTTGGGTCCTACTTAGAAGTACTGTGTATATAAGAATAAATATTCACCTTCCTGAGCTGCTGCAGACAGGGTTCACATTAGCATTCTCCCTGGAGATGCCAGTTGTTCATATTTGTATAAAAGTGGTGTCAAACTTCAAGTGGGCATGACATACATTCACACACCTCTGGCCAGTGCTGCTGGGAGATTAATTATTACGAGGAAACTCCAGCCTCTTAAAGAGAACTTAACTGAGGTAATGAAGTATTGGCCAGTCAATGTCAAGAACCTGTCTAGTGACTAAGGAGGGGATGCTTCCTGTTTCACCCAGCATCTGAACCTGAAAGACCCCCCAGGACGTGCACAGTGCCAAACGTGCCTTCTGGTGCTAAAGAAACAACTTGTAGGACTTAATTATAACCATATGAGGACTGTTTCAGGTGCAACACCCTGTCAAAGTGGTCAAAATAGCCAACTACCTCAGCCGGCTGTTAGCACTATCCACAGCCTGCACAACAGAGACAACACAGGGATTAGAAAGAACAAGTGTTACCGCCACTTTTTATAATCTGGGAAAGGTCCGGGAAGGATAATGGCATTATCCCATAAAAAGTCCTGGTGGCAAAAAGCATCTCAAAAAAAAAAAAAAAGACAAGAAGCATCAACAGCAGTGGGGGATCTACCACAGACTAACGACTAGGTTTTAAAAAAACAAGCTTTGGTGGTCTGATGTAGCCAGGAAGGAGCCTTTTTGTCATCACTGAAAATGGGATCGAGGATGTTCAGTTGGCACCACAGCAGGACAAAGAGTAGGTCATCCTTACTGTATATGAAGGAATGAAATTCTAAAAAGATTCACTGGGAAAACCAGTCATACAAATACATGTTTCTTTACACAGATTTAGGGGAGCAAAGCAAACCAGTTCCACAGTTACCTCAGACAAGGAATCGGAGTTGCAATTGATAACATTGGTAAATTTGTGGTTTAAAATGCAGGAAGTTTGCATGGCTACTGAGACGGCACAGAAGTGAAGTACAATTTGAATTACAGGGAAAATGTGATAATTAAACCCTCACAACAACTAGTGTGTTTTCAAATTTCAACACTTCTTTCCAGGGACTGTTACATGATAAAGGTAAAAATTACCTGTACTATATGTACTTTGGTTTGCTTTTTGAAAGACAAAAACCATCATTCGTTTTGGTGGGGGAAACAAACACCACCAGTCAAAAGCTGCAAATCTGGATACCTAAGATAGGATCCTCAATTCTCTCTTGGGCAGCTAAGGAAAAGTTATCTCATTTTAAGAAGCATTTTTACAGATTTTACATCTGCCTACCAGTCTAGTGGGAGGACTGTTAAGAGATGATGAATTCTCAGAGAGTTCTTCTTTTGCTTCTCAAATCTGGATTTATGAACCTAATTTCAGTTGGTTATTGAAAATCAATGGTGTTCAGGCAGTAATTTGCCTACCAAATACTACTTGCAGAGCTATACTAATTTTCTCACTAAGGCTGACGAACCAGTATTTACACAAATGAAAAGAACATACTAATCTCTTTTCAAAGACCATGAAAAAGGCTGCTTAACAAGTGGAGGGAAAAGAAAAAAAATGTAGGGCAAGAAATATAATTTTGAGTTTCTGTGAAGATATCACATGCAATATAAGCGAGACCAAAAATAATCTCACAATAGAACCTGACATTAAAAGAGATTAAAGGAGGTAAAAACCACACAACCCAATCAAGTTGGTAAAGCCTAATTAGCAGAGACCCACCCAGAGATCAACAAAATGCATTCTTTTCATTTTGTAGTACAAAAGCTGCATATATTACTTGTATTAAAAAGCTTCTAAAATGAATTTAATTAACTATGAAAGGCTTGATTTTGCCTTTGGGTGTATGTAAAAACAGCAGCTGATTTTACAAGATGCACTGTGATGCCTGATTGTGTAGCAAAAGAAAAATTAAAACCTTTAGGTTTCATTGCCTCTCCGGGTTCAGATAATTTTGTGGCCCAGAATTTAATTATATTTGGCCACAGTGAACTCAAATTCACACAGGGGCGACAGCCCTTTGTCTATTTTGGAATCTGATTTGCAAGCTGACTTGGGAGTACTGCTTAGACTTCAAGGAACACACAAAAGTGTTGTCCACTCACAGGGGGAGCATGGACAAGCCACGTGGCTGAGAGGCCTGTCAGGAATGTATTCCACACACATGAAATGCACGAGGCTGAAGATTTGGCCACATGACAATGCATATATCTACTATACTGTGCTCACGTGCCAATTATTTTACTGTGATTAATTCTTCAACTATGCAAATACTTTTCCACAATTGTATAAACATAAGAAAAATGGAAATAAAGGATTTTAAATTAATTAAATCAGGAGATTCAAAGGACGTGCTACTGAATGTGGAATATCTCCTCTCTTTACCTCTTGCTTGGCTACCAGGGAGTTCTGGCACACACTTCAGGAGCTCCTACAGGCAGTTGAGCCTACAAACTTTGTCTGAATCCAGCCTGCTGCTTCTTAGCATGCCTTGGGAGCACCTCAGCCCACAGCTGGGATGTCTCTCCTTGGAGACTTTCAACACTTGACTGGGAATGACCACAACAGATGAGACCTCCAGGCTTGGATGACTTGAATGCCTCCAGAAGCAGAGTGGCTTCCCCCACATCTGGATTTCTGGATTTAAGTCATTCTATTGTATAGATTCCCTGGACTTGTGTCTTAATGTCTTAGCATCCCAATTCAAGGCCTTTTCTATCCCCAACATACAGAAAAGCCAAGGAATGCCCTTCTCTGCCAGCCTGGGATATGTTGCTGTGTGCCAGCAACTCCTATCAGTGCTGAATAGGGAGGAAAGCTGAGATCCTTGACTCATATCAGCACTCCATCCTGGGCTAAAAGGCATCCAAGGATGATAGTAAAACGCTGTGCACAATCTATGGCAATTGATATGGTGAGACACTTGTGCTCAAGGGAAAGACGGATTGCCCTTGTCAAGAGCTTGAATTTCTACTCTTGTGCCATTCTGCCTTTTCCTCACTCTATAAAAGGTGATTGGAAACCAAATGTTATTTCAACTAGCATAGTAATACCAATATTCCTCCACAACCTGTTTCCTAGAGATCCTAAAAGGAAATGGGGTCTGGCTTACCAAACAAGGAGCCTTGCTTGGCTGGCTGCTGACAATAAATCAGCTTTACCTTTGGCTTCAGTGACTTCTGGCAGCATTTTGGAATGCCACCATGCTAGGACAGCAAGGTTGTCCTGAAAGCTTATCATCCTGACTGGCCACATCAATTGTACCATTAAGGTTTCCCCTCATGGCATGACCTCCTATTTGTGTTGGGGTGATTTGAAGGCTAAATACTGTGAATAAACAGAAAATTTGGCTTTGTGGGCAGTGCCAGAGACATGAAACAGAATAGTGTGGATGTACCCATCAGTTCTACTACAAAAATGGTAATTGTGGACCGTCACCACAAAGCAAATCACTTTGAGAGCACAATTATTTTTTATAATAATTGAGTGGAAAAAATAATGGAAAACTGACAGAATATCTTTTCTCTATTGCTGTCTTTAGGTCTGTCAATGTTTTCTTTAACCTTTGGTCAAACACCAACTACTGACACATATTTTGCCAGTCATTGCACAATGGCTTTTCCTAAGCGTATAATGCAATTCAGTGTTAATTTTCTCAGGAACTAACATAGAAAGTTTCCTTTCTGTGGGAGTGCAACACTGGTCTATATCAGGAAAGGAGATAGGATGCTCTTCCGGAAAAAGCGTAATGACTACTGAGAATATGTGGGCTTTTTAACAGCTTTGCCATAGCTGTTCTGTTTCTGATCATGAACAGAGCATTTAGATCTGCCTCCACAAGACTGTTTGACTCCCAGAGCCTTTTGCTACTCTACATGTTAAGTCTCCCCATCAGCAAAACCAGACACAACCTCTTCATGTTTCTGTCAGTCGGGATAATAATTGTCACTGGTTTAGGAAGCCCATCCTGACAAACTTTCAGCCTGCTTTAAGATACATCTAGGACTTCTGAAAGGGATTTTCAGACACCTTGGGCAGTGTATATCAGAGCTGACCCTTATAGAAGAGTGACAGTTGCACTGTTCAAAAACAACAAAGCTTTTTGAGAGCTTTCAACTAAGAGGTCAGACCTGAACTAAGGCATCAGCTAACAGGATCCATCCACAGGGTACACACATAAATGTGTGTGCATATAGTAATTTGTAGAGTTCCTTATTACCAACATACTTATTTTTTCACCAACAAACTCAGATGCTGCATATTTAAACAGGTGTACTCTGCTGTAGCATGAGTGGAAAACAGTGAGAAAGGAGATCACTACAACTTGCCTGCCTACAGCAGTGTGTTTGAGAGCCTCTTACCTTGACATGGTGTATCAGGTGCTCAACTTCATTCACTTTATAGGTCTCTATTCCCAACTCTTTGGATAACCGCAGGAGACGATTCTGTGTTGGCCCCACGTAAGCTCCTCCAAGGTCCACATATTTGGCTTGCTTATTCTAGTTTATCACACACAAAAGGGAAAAAAACCCAAACAAGTCAGTAAGTCCTTTGTAAATAGCACACAAGCTAAAAGAGCAATCCAGCGGAATGAAATGAAATTAAACACTCCCAGAGTATTTTGGCTAAGATTCCTCTCCCCTTGGAAAAACATAAATTCTTTGGTAGAGTTCTGGTGTGGTGATTACTGAGAATCTCAGATTATGAGTTCATAAGTAGCTTAGCAGACCCATTGCTACAGGCCTCAAACAAACATGAGAGGAAAGAGCCTGACAAGCAGAGAGAGGATGGAGAGAGATGTGTGCAGCTCTTGCTCGGTCTGGCATCTCAGCAATGACTGGTTTAAAACAGACTGTCCCAGGACGTAGCACGGGCAAGATTCTCTGATGAGCAGGGTGGGAGAGGAGTCTCCCAAGTCGAGGTAGAACAGAAGGTAAAGTAAAGGGAAACATGCTGGTTGAGTTCCCAGCCACTCCTCTAGCCTACACCACTCCTCATGGGGCTTGTTAAGGTTCAGCTCAAGGCTCTTCACAGCATGGTTGACCTTATGGGTGTTTTTTCATAGAGATTTCAGTAGTGTTTCTCCCTAGGAAATGACTTTGAAACTTAACTCATCACATTCTCCTTACCAGATGGATGACTCCACACCCTGGAGATCACACAGAAGTATTCTGTCTCCATCATCACGCCAGTCTTTCCCTTCTCTTGCTGTTAAAATATCAGGAAATTTCCCACCCTCTAGTACTCCAGAAATCTTCCCCTTGTATGTATAGTATCTACTCTAAGTATGTATATGTAGAATAAATGGGTTTGGAGATAATTACCCTTATGGTGAAAGTTCTTCCACCAACCCTGTCATTGGCTTCCAGCAACACCACATTCAAGCCTGACTCAGTCAGCAGTTTGGCTGCTGAGAGACCTAAAAGACAAAAAGAAAAGCAATTAAAGGACACTTCTAGATATGCACTATGTGGCTTTTGTGAGTTGACATATAAAGACCCTCACAGCTGTCCATCTAAATCCCAAATTGTTCATTCAAACACTATGACAGGGGGGTGAGGTGGAATTAAAAAACTAAAAAAGGAATAACCATTAAATGAAGCTCGAGCCATATATTAAAACAGTTTGTGGTCAAAATTTACATGTGCTGAGCAAGTTTTGCACCACATGCTCAGCAATTCTGATGCATAAGCCAGCACTTGTTATGACAGTCATCCAACCATGCAGGGAACTTGTTGTTTGTAAACAGAAAGCTGTCTTCCTCAACATGTCATCTTTTATAACCCAAACAGAAAATGAAAAAAAAAAAGAGGAAGTTTTATTAGGACTGTCTTAAATTTCAGAAGTTTTCCTGACACTTTTTCTACGTCTCTGCTTTCCAGTTCTGAATATTTTAAAGTGCAATGGTAAAGTTTCCACACAGTCAGGTCACAGGTTTCACCTCCAGAAGAACACACGGTCTGATTTAGAAGAAACAGAATGTGCACTTGTGCATGACAAGAGGAAGAAAAGAATATAGGTTAATCTACCCCATAAAATCGTTTGACTCCTCATCCATTTTATTCATACACTTTTATTTCCACATTGCAATTTTGGAGTTGAGACACCCAAGTGAGGGAACAATAAGAACAGGGAACATCTCACTCTAGTTCTGACGCCATAAATCCTCATAAATGCAGAGGAAAATATTAGCTCCAAGCCCTGTAGCAAGTGTGGCAAGCTGCTGTGGGAATGAAGGAAATTAGAAAGGGTGCACATGGAGGGATTACAGCCTGAAATCTCTCAGCTTCTTAAGATCATCTCTTGCCTTTTACTTCAGCACACAAACTGAGATTTGAATAAGCTGTGGTGCTTACTTTGGTCACATGTGAGTGAATTTGTAGTGGGACGACACAAGTTATATTCTAGTGGGTTGCATCATCCTCTTGAGCCAACAGGATGAGTTGAATAAAGTTCAGCAACAGGCCAGGCTGGAAGCCTCACTTATACATCGTAATTTATCCTTTTTGGCTCTCTGCCTTGTTACCATGAGAATGCAATCAGTTCCCTCTGTGTGTCCTGGTACATGTAGTTCTGGAGGAGTTGTGAAAGAAGATCATTCCAAGCATAAGGCAGCCACAGAACAAATGGCAAAAGCACCAGCAGGAAAAACAGATGGCCAGAGCTAGCATGGCAGGACTGAATGAAATTATAATGAAGAAAGTATAGCTGTCCTGGATAGAGGCTACAGAACACTCTGGTCATCAACTAGTGGACTTGAAGTAGGAGAACCAGGTCCTGTTCTCAACCCTGTATTGAAACTGCTGCACTGTGCTGGTTAAACCACTTAAGGTCTTTATTTGCCCACCTGAAAAAAAAAAAAAAAAGAAGAAAAGAGAGAGACAATGGTATAGATCTATCTATCTATCTATCTACAGGATTTTACATTTTCTAAAGAAAAGCTGCAGATGTTTCCATTAAAATATCATACTGTCCTGCTTCTATTTCTAGCTTCATGGGCTTATTTATCTTGGGTTTTCACATAAGTGTTAGTGAGAAACCCAGTAATGAAACTGATAAAGGTCTTTCCATACTTCCTACTGAGGAAATTATATTGTGAAAACATCTGGCTGGATCAGCGGCCTTGACTACGCTCACAAATATCTGAAGATACCAAGGAAGAACATAATACAGAAAACAGTCATGGTATGTAAACGTGGACCACCCCTTTAAAGAACTTGCAAAGCGAGATTGGCTTCTGGAGGAAAAATAGCCAACAAAGCTCCTAATTAAATCTAGCTTATCAGTTAAAGAAAAAAAAAGTTACTTTTCAAAAAAGAAACATTTCATCAGTTAGGAGAGGATCAATAGTAGTTATTAATAATTTACAGAATGAATACACAAACTGAAGGCTGCTGTCACTTGTGGGTTTCTGCTGTCTCATCATGCTAACAGGTATTGACTAATCAATTAATAGCATTCAGTTACCAACAATGATTGAGGGATATGAGATTTGACCTTCTTTATTAAAATCTAATGAATAAACATTTCAGTACAGCTGGGAACAAAGGCAGTTTATTCCCAGGAGCTGAACAAACGGAGAAGTTTATGAAATGATAACTCTTCAGATTCAACTGAAATGCAGCTAATTTGTAGCCCAGATACCACTCCTTGTTTCCCCCTGCAACTTTCATCCACTCTATTGCATCTACCTGCTGTTTACTTCCTGCTGTCTATTTTGGGGCACACGCTCCTTTTCCCCAGACCCACACATTCACAGATGGACCTGCTAGAGGTGGATAACAGTTTGCTCTTTCCTGATGCAAAAACAGAAAACCAAAACAGTGCTGAGGGTAGGATCAGGCTCATTAGTATCTCACTGCCCCATCCATGCCCATCCTCCAGCAGATCTGATCTCTGCAGGGGGAGGGATGTGTCCTGGGGCTTGGCTCTGTAGCAGAAGACGCAGTCTACGGGGTTCCCAAACTAAGCACCACCTGGCCACTTCAGTTCAAGGGCTGGTGTTCCACCTGCTCCTCTCACCCACATCACAGCTCTGGTTTTGCTCCAAAGTTTGCTGGAGAAATTAGGCAGATAACTGCTGACAAAGTCAGGGACCATAGCCAACCTCTAGCTTCTCCTACCCCTCACCACAAACACATAACAGCAAAAAGATGGAAAAAGAACAGGCAGAGGCTCAGGAGGGTCAGATGGCACAGTAAAGGACCAGAGCAGGTCTCATAGCACACACGGTGCAGGATAAGGCAAGACTGCTGTGACAAATACAACACTACAGTGCAATGTTGTCAGGAAGGAATATTGCTATTTTGGTATCTTACACATTTAGAATCACAGTACTGTCACATCACTCCACACCTGCTCCCTGGAGCTGGACACAAGACCCCAAATGGGGTCCTGCACTGGAGCCAAATAACAGTGAGAGGACTGGATGCTGCTGAGGGAGAGCTTTGAGCTGAAGTGATACAAGGACAGATAAGGCACCAGAACAGCAACAAAAGCATATGAAAATGGAAATGAATACTAGGACATGAATACTGGAGCATGAGGTTGAGGTTTGCTTTTTAGAAACTAACAATTGCTGCAGGAAATCTCTACAAACCACAACCTCTTTTCTGGGCAAGAGTCAGAGCGGCCTCTCTGTGCCTGATACCCCAATTGCCAGAAATAGAGCAGGCATGATGCCCGTGAAGCAAAGCCTGGAAAAATCTGTCATACATGATATAAGATCTCATCTTGAGAAGTTTAACCTTCCACAAGTTTCACATTTCAGCACTGCCTCTGGCTTACCTCTCACTCTCTTGCACATCACTAACAAAAGGTAGACTTTGATATTGTCCCCATTCCTCACAAATGAGGCAACATTCAAATAGAAAGGTCATCCAAAAAACGTGACTGATGCTGTTATTACTCCTGTTTCAGGGACTGTTTTGTCATCCAGTGGCATCTTTCCCTCCTCACCAGAAGCATTCCAACAGAATAAGATCTGAATTGCAATATAAGGGCTCAATCACAGAGGAAAGGAGCTAGGTCCAGTTTCCACTGCAGGTCAGCTTTCTACAAGGGGCAACAGAGAGCCCCATATATATATATATATATATATATATATATATATATATACACATATACATATATATATATATATATGACAGAAAACATAAGCCTCACCTGCAGTTCTGCTCAAAGAACTGATAAGCAGTTAATGAATTCAAAGAGCAAAGAAGTAAAGATGATTATTTGAATCCCCAGACTGAAAATACCATTGTACTTAGAGATGCTTAACCAGGCAAGCCTTCACGTGTGTTCCCATAGCAACCCAGTACCCAACTGCAGCCACCCAGAGATACTGGCAAGAGATTGCCTCCCCCAGAATCTTGTAACACAAGTTCAAGCCATGAAAATCATTTCTTCGCCATACAGCACTCTGCATTCACACAGATATGACTCAAACATCACAATGTCAAGTCATCACAATAATTATTTCACCTTCAGTTCCAACTTTTTTCTTGTTTAATAGCTCTGTACCTGCTAAACACCTTAAGTTGCACCGTTTGAATAAACAGCTTCATTAAAACCTCACTTTCTAACATTAACAGTTTCCTTATCCTCAGAGAACAACTAATTCAGATTTTTTAAATTTTTCTTTTAAACAGAAAATCTTAAATTTCTGTGCTAGGGCAGAATCCAAACTGATATTTCATATAATCTTAGAATCATTAAGGTTGGAAAATACCCTCAGGATTGAGCCCAACCTTTATTATATATCTATATTTATGTTTGGGACATATATTTTTGGATTACATATATAATATTTATATTAAAATATATTTATTGTCTATACATTTGCATTGATAAATGCAACAGGAGTCAAATTTTTTTATCTGACCCCCCTGTGGACTACAGTGAAGCCCTACAATGTAACACATTAGATTATCTAAAAAATAATCTGTGAAATACTTAAAAAAAAATATTGAAATTTAATAACTGATTCCAGTCTGATTCTGCCTGGAATCAGCAATTTTACTGAAATACCCTTTTAATCTTAGCACTTCCACAAAAAAATCACTGGGAGGGACATGATTGGAAATAGCATCTCTGAAAAGCTGTAAATTTCTGAAAGCATTCATGCAGTTTCTGTTGCACTTTCTCTGTATTATTCACTACTTCATCATGTTCCTCCATATTTGTTATCTCCACTGTAAGAAAAAAAATAATTTCTCTCATTTATATAATTATAGAAATCATCTACAAATTCTAAATTTTAACTCATGTAAGGAGCAGAGAAAGAGTCTCTAAGACACAGGCATTCAATTAATAGTTTCTAAAATGGCTGGCAAAAAAAATGTTTACTCTGTAACCTTTAAAATTTCTCTCTTCGACTGAAATTGTGCATTGAGCAGGAAGAAATGCTGTCATCATACT